GTGTGTGTGTGTGTGTGTGTGTGTGTGTGTGTGTGTGTGTGTGTGTGTGTGTGTGTGTGTGTGTGATCTGTACATTGCACAACATCGCTATAATTTCTTATTTATTGCAGATATCAAAATGAAAGCTGTGGCACTCCTGATGGTTATTGCTCATGTGGCACTTGGAGATAGTCCCGACCCCACCAAAGTTTGCATGCCGGACCAACTCAGCGCCACAGAATTCAATCTGATGGATGCGGTGAGTTTTCCTTTTCAGTAACGAACTCGTTGCGTTGTCAACCTGTGAACTTCATGTAAAATGTCTATTCCTTGTGAAGACGGACGTACTATTTTGGCTTATTCTTAACAGTTGATATATAATGTATTGTTTTTTGGAAGTATAATTCGTCTTGTTAAGACAACGGTCTCCGCCGACAACGCTTTAAGATATTTAAATGTTCTATTTCTGTCTCCACAGTCTTTTGCTAACGTGACAGTTGACTTCGGAAAAAAGAGGTCCGCAAGACTTGAAAATGGAGTTAGGACTGTTGTTGACTATGCAAACGTAAGTAATTCGTCGGGGATCCTTCTTGACGGTATTTTTAATTCATGTATTAATCATTTCCTTTCTCTGAAACTTAATGAGAGCTTATTATTTGGTAGCTTATAGGGGTTTTTTTTAATTAAATGTTAATTTTCTCTTTAAGTATACCAAACGAATAGGGAGAGGAAAAGCCATTTTGTGTCTGATGCAATGCCAACATAACGATACGATTCCCTTAAAAGATACCAGACTTACCAAAAACAGGGAGGAAAATTAGATCTAAATATCTTTAGAGAACTTCTCAAAAGAATCCATTATCCACAGTTAATCTTAACAGTTTATTCGATTTATTCTATAATTTCATGCAGTTGACTGACAAATATTGAACTCAGGTCGTCTTGTGCAATTTTCAAGGCCCTCAACCGCTGAACACTTATGATATACTTTAATGAAGACAATTACAAGAAAAAGACATATTTTTTATAATCTATTTCGTGGATCTCCTCAGCTCAAGGCATATGTTATTGACAGCAATGGCTGCACATCAAGCGCAGCTTCTCCATACCAACTGCTCTTCAAATGCCTCCCAGGTACTGTTCCAATAGGCCAACTTACATATCTTGATAGAAAAATGTTACTACATGGCATTGATTGTATAGCGCAAATTCCCTCTAAACAGAAAGCTCTTTGAGCTATGCAATCTATTATATTATTATTACCCACACAGACCTGCTGACATACTAAAACACTCTTTGTTGCCTCATGAATATAGAGTGCAAGCTGCCATTTTACCAGCGATAATAACACTCACAAACTGGCATGGCAAGGTCTTTCACTGTCTATGGCAGGTACCTATATTGTTGTTGTTGTTTCTGCCGTTGTTGTTGTTATTGTTGTGGTTGTAGAAATAGATGGGAAGAAAACATAACGGAATGGACAGCTTTAAAGTTGGGTGAAGCCCTTCAAAATTTTGAAAATAGAGAAGGATGCGGGAAAGTGGTTGCCCGATCATCCTTGGTGTGGAAACGGTTATCTAAAACAAAGGGATAAGTAAAGTAAGTAGCTGTAGTAGTAGTAACAATAGTAGCTTTTCATTATTTATCTTATATTATATCATTACTATACTATTATCATTGTTACTTTTTGGCCTCATATAGCTATGGCAAAGTATGCCGGCCAGCTGGCATTCGGCGTTGAATCTCCAAGAACTCTGGACGTATGGCGTCTTAACTTGGGGACCTTCAACCTCACAATGCTTGGGTCAACTACACCAGGTGTCGGCTCCTACCCCGTGCTCAGAAAACTCTTCAGTAAGTAAATTAATGCCTTGGGATTTTTTTTCCCACAATGTTCCGCTCACAGTGGGCACCCTATAGCTTTTACGTGTGTGTAGCTGTGTGTTTTGGTGGGTAAAAATGTGAGTGAGTATGTGTGTATGAGTGTTTGTACGCGTGCGTGTGTGTGTGTGTGTGTGTGTGTGTGTGTGTGGATGTGTGTGTGACTGTGCTAATTTCATGTCAGTTTCGATTAGGACATGTGTGCTCGTATGTGGATGTCTGTGTTTTGAATATGTATGTGATATTACCTCATAATAGGATACGAATGAGTGAGCAAACAAACTGGGAAAACTACTCTGATGGTTGTTTCAACGCACTTTGATCAAGTCTAGAATATCATTACAGCCTGGGATATCCCAGTCGTACATCGTAAATAAAACACAAGGAGGGGATTTCAACAATTCTTTTCTATCATGCTCCAGCTCCATCCGGATTCACCATCAGTCTTCTAGAGAATGCCAGACCAAAAGTATTTGATCCCACTGTCCTCGACATCCCAAATGACTGCACCGAAGCCCCTGTTGTTGGTTAAATATTCTAAACCAAACGAATGTTCATATCATTTGCATTTTCAAGTGTACGTATTTGTCGAGTATTAAAGACTTGAATAACACTTTGCCTTGTTTGAGAATTGATGGAAGTTAGCATTTACTTACGAATTACGTGTTTGCCAATAGGATGTTGATAAAGTTTGCGCCTTCGGGTTCTGTTTAGGAAGGTGAACAAAAGGAAGAAATTACAATTTCTGCTTCTTTCTATCTATGTTGAGGGTGGACTTTCAATCTACTCAGCTTTTTTGTCTGTCATCAAAATGTATTTGAGATGAAATGTGTCCACTGTAACACCCGTGAGCACCGTTCAAAAAAGCAATATCCTATATTGATGGATGGTTTTAGTAATATACATGTAGTGTTGAGCGCATAGAGCTTGTTGTCCGGGGGGGGGGGGGGTATGTGCTACACAAACGCAGAAAAAAAGAAACCACACCAGAGCAACCGTAAGTCACCCATAGACTCCTGGTGTTGTTGTTGTTGTTGTTGTTGTTGTTGTTGTTGTTGTTGTTGTTGTTGTTGTTGTTGTTATCAATCTAGCAGCAGCTGGGCTCTCGCCCTTCTGTCCAATGCCATGTAGTGATAAGTGCAAGTTTGCTGCAGTTTCTGTAATGTCCCTTAGAGTGTGTTGTCAATGTTAGGTCATGAGGGAGAAGGGAAGCTCTGATGTCATTTAGGGCTGTGCAGTGGAACAGGTGATGATCCACAGTCCCATATGCATAGTCACACAAGGGACACATTGGGGGACGTTCCGGTAATATTCTGTTCAGGTGGAAGTTTAGCTATATATGTTATGTTCGTAGGCGGAAGATCGTGGTATGTTTCTCTCTCTGTATGTGGTTGATATTGTCATTCCTTTTTGTTGTGGTCATGTGTTTAAAAACTGCTCTGCCTGTTTTCCCCATGACCCATCTGTTCATCCAATCTTGCTTGTTGCTGTTTTTAATGATTTGTTTTGCAATGGAATATGAAGTTTGAATATTGGGTTGTTCCTGTCTAGATCCCTGTTTGGCATGTGTGTCTGCTCTGTCATTTCCAGGTATGTTCGAGCGTCGGGGACCCACTGCATTACTAGGTTGATGCCACAGAATGTTATCAGAAGATGGGATCCAAACAGTATATGAGTGAAATCTTGGTTTAGATTATGGTCATTTTCTATGACTTGTAAGACTGATAGTGAGTCAGTGAAAATCACAATACTCTGAGCTTTTCCAGGATGAATGTCAAAAACTGTGCGGAGATGGTACAGTGAGACTCCGGGTGAAAAAGCTGAAACGAAGCCTATGAAAAAAAAGATACCGAAAGCACGTTATCTTTCAAAACTTGCAAAGCTATGAAAAGAAGGGGGAAATCAGCAGTGACGCAAAAAAGATATCATATTTACCATAGATCAGCAAACAAAAGCAGAGCACTAATTAAGAGACTTCATTTTTGGTATTGTGAAAGGCAAATATGATGTAACCAAAAAGGAATGGCTATCATCACAGTTTGAAATATTGAAGATCTGTTAACGAAAGTTAGATTGTGGATGTGCGAGGATATCAACCTATAACAAACTGTTGCTCGAACAACAAGGTCTCTCCTTCACAAACCCCATCATTGATGGTACCGACAAGGATCTCTCGAGAATTTACCTTACAAAGAAAATCAGCACAATGCAAATCAAAATGGATGTTGTAAGCACTTACTGTTACTAAAATCTTACTTACTTACTTACTCTCTCCCTATACCGTCAGGTACATAAGGCGGAGAGCAGCCGACGCCACGCTTGTGTGTCCCGGGCCATTTTCTCCAATTTCCGCACATCTAGGCCCTGGGTGATGGCCTCATCTCTTATTGTGCCCTTATAGCTTCCAGTTGTACTGAAATCTGACTTTACTGAAATCCCTATATTTATCAAAAGTAAGTTTAGTTTCTGTAAAAGGATTCACATTGACACAATAACAGCTATATAGTGCTGGGGAGAAAGCAAGATAAACGTACAGTAACACCGAGGGGAAATAAAAGACGTAGGGCCCACTAGTGACGCCCTCCAACCAATCACAGTCCAACATTTAAGAAATACATAAAGGTATAATTCTCTAATTTGGCAAACCGTCTTAGAAATGCCGAACTGTATAAGGTGACTTGGCGAGTCTACGTATTTCTCTACTGAAGATGCATCAGAGCTCCGTCACCGATGTCTATGGTGTTAAGGATAGGCGCTTCCACTTTGAACGCAAACGACAGATCGTTTTATTGCAGAATATCACGTTTTTTTGTTTGGGGGGGGGGGGTTGGGGGGGGCATTTTTAATGTGTGTATGTGTGTGTTTGCGTCTGTGTGTGTGTGTGTGTGTGTGTGTGTGTGTGTGTGTGTGTGTGTGTGTGTGTGTGTGTGTGTGTGTGTGTGTGTGTGTGTTTGCCAAGATATTGGAATGGCGAACAAGACACAATGCTGAATCATTTCTTAGTGAGGGCCAAATGGGATTTAGAAAGGGAAGAAGATGCACCGATGCAATATTTGCCGTACGACAAATGTGCAAAAGGGTAATAGAACACAACAGGGAACTAAATATAGCATTTATCTACCAGGAGAAAACGTTCGACAGAGTGAACAGAAACAAGCTGTGGAAAGAACTCGAAAACTACTCTGTAAGAGGCCAATTTCTAGATAACACCGTGCCATTTACGAGAACAGAATAAGTATAGTAAGAACGTCAGAGGGACTCACAGAATAGTTCGAGATAAAAATCAGGAGTAGGACAAGGTTGTGGCCTATCACCACTACTATTTTTCATATATATGGATAGACTTACAAAAGAGGCCAACACAGAACCAGACGCCCTAAATGAATTACTCTTCGCTGATGACCAAAGCCTGGCATACAAAGAAGAACGAAGTCTCCAACACCATACAACCAGATTAAACGAAGAATGTAACAATTACGATATGAAGATCAACATTAACAAAACAGAGACAATGAAAGTAAGCAGAAAGCCAGAACCACTCAGGATACACATCAACAACAACAGTCTCAGACAGGTCTAAGAATTTAAGTACTTTGGAAGTCTATTTCGCAGAAGATGGGCGACTGAACAGAGAAATTGAAGCACGAGTACAAAAAGCCAATAATGTTAGTTACCAGCTTACTCCACTACTGAAACATCCTAACATCCCCATGCTAACAAAACTCAAAATGATCAACACCATATATTCATCCCAACACTCACTTATCAATGCCAAACATGGACCACGAACAAGACATTAGAGCAAAGAATTACAACATATGAAATGCGATGCCTCAGAAAAGCAGTAAACAAGACCAGGCGAGACAAAATTAGAAACTCAATAATCCGAGAAATGGTGAGCACATGCATCACATCCAACACCAAAGAATCAAATGGTTCGGACATCTCCTACGATTGCCAACGCACCATCCAGCACAACGTGCCTACATCCAAAAATCCGATGGCAACAAGGCTAGAGGGCGACCGAGAAAGACCTGGATACATGGGGTCAGGGAAACCTTAACCACCCACGCCATCCCCCTGACCCAAGCTCTCCGGCTGGCGACAGAGAGACGTCTCTTTCTTCTCGCGACACCCAAAAGGGTATAAGCGGCGGACAAAAGTAAAAATAAAAGTAAAATTGTGTGTGTGTGTGTGTGTGTGTGTGTGTGTGTGTGTGTGTGTGTGTGTGTGTGTGTGTGTGTGTGTGTGCTCGTGTGTGCTTTAACATCAAACTATCATTTTGACATTTAGTTCTTTTGATGTGTTAGCAATAGACAGATTGTCGTAGTACCGATTTGGAGAGTGTATATACGGCAGATTTCTGCCTTAAGGGAAGATGCTATTGAAATCGGGCACTTCTTTTTAAACTCTAGCTCCATATTACAGACTTCAACATACTTAAGGACCACTTGCAAACTTTCAGCGTTGTCTTCTTAGGTCGACCTGCAGATGAGCGTTCTTGGACTGATCCAGTGGCTTGATGGCGTTGCCTCAGGCGGACAATGACAGAGTGTGATACTTCAAGACTTCGGGCAACTTCTCGGGCTCCAACTCCATCCTGCAGCCATGCTCTAGCTCTGGCACGATCAAATTCTCACAGCTTTTGTCTTGGTGGCTCGTTGATGCAATATGGGTTTTGCGCACACGTCGGCTTTTATTGCCACCAAAGTGAGCACAGTTCAAAGACCGTTCGTCCGTTTATCACGTGCACCAGAAATTCTAACTGAGGAATGTCCTTGGTGTCGCAAACAAGTAGATAAAAAACAGCAAATATGGCTAAAATTTCCAAGGAGTTTGGTGCTGCACTTGATGGTTTTGGCCCTTCATGAGGCTTTGTAGTACTCATTCAGAGCAAATGATACTGTCCTTGTCTTTTTCGGATTTTAAAAAAATCAGGGCTGTCTGTCAAGGTGGTCCTTAACTTATGTTGAGGTCTGTATGTACAGGGTGATTTTTAAAAAAGGACCCACTTAAAGGGCAATAACTCGATCATCTCAGCACCAATTTCAGCAACACTTCAAACAATAAATATTTAACTATGACTACATCAAGTCTGTTAATATAAAGAAAACCAATCTCAGTGTTAGAGGAACATCAAGTTGTTTGGGGTTTTTTTTTTATTTCAACCAAACTTGGATAAAACGCACAATTTTACTTCTTTAAAGCGTTTAGCTACGTGGGTGTAATCGGCCCGTCCTGGTTCCAGGACTTCCACGCTAAAACCTCGACAGTCACTTCAGATGGATATCTCACTGTGCTGGAAAAGTTTTGTCGAAGTTTGGGGAGTGGGTGTTCTGTCGTAGAAGTCTGGTTCCAGTAGGAAGGGGCCACACTCCACTCGTTAGAAATGGCCCTTGTGTGATTGCAAGAAAGGTTTGGGGAATGCCTTATAAGTTGAAAGTTTACAAAGGAAGGGTCACCACCTTCTCCATAACTTGAGCCCCTTAGATTATTTCCTTTGGAATTTTTTACAGACAGAGTCTACGGAAACAACCTACAAGCAATCGAAAAATCGAAACTAAACGTGGTATAATTCCAGAAATATGCCTCTGTGTTATTCAGAATGTTCAG